ATAGAGCATCACATACTACGAATATAGCGTCAGTTGTGGTGCTCCAATCGTGTATGTTGACATGTGTGTACGTTGTGCGCATGATGCAAGTAATCATGACAATAAAATCAACAAAGCTGATTATAGTGTATTTGTAAGTTGGCTACACGAAAGAAGGGTGTACGCCCCCAGAGACCGCCTGTCTCAGAAGCAAGCTACTTCGATAGGATGTCCAAAAATGAATGCGAAAAGGACCGACAATAGTCAGAAATTAGTGTTCACACCGATTAAAGCTGATGCTACACTTGATCTAGGAGAACAAGCCGGGAAGATTTGGCTGTAAAGCACTACATAGGCCGGATTGCAACATTATCGACAGAACAGTGAATGTTGACAATCAGAATTGGAATGTTGCAATGCGTACGCCATATGAGAATAGCATTTCAAATGTAATGAAATAGAGCATCACATACTACGAATATAGCGTCAGTTGTGGTGCTCCAATCGTGTATGTTGACATGTGTGTACGTTGTGCGCATGATGCAAGTAATCATGACAATAAAATCAACAAAGCTGATTATAGTGTATTTGTAAGTTGGCTACACGAAAGAAGGGTGTACGCCCCCGGAGACCGCCTGTCTCAGTAGCAAGCTACTTCGATAGGATGTCCAAAAATGAATGCGAAAGGGACCGACAATAGTCGGAAACCAGTTTTCACACCGATTAGAACTGATACTACACTTGATCTTGGCGAACAAGCCGGGAAGCTATGGCTGTAAAGCACTACATAGGCCGGATTGCAACATTATCGACAGAACAGCGAATGTTGACAATCAGAAGTGGATTGTTGCAATGCGTACGCCATATGAGAATAGCATTTCAAATTAATGAAATAGAGCATCACATACTACGAATATAGCGTCAGTTGTGGTGCTCCAATCGTGTAAGTTGACATGTGTGTACGTTGTGCGCATGATGCAAGTAATCATGACAATAAAATCAACAAAGCTGATTATAGTGTATTTGTAAGTTGGCTACACGGAAGAAGGGTGTACGCCCCCCGAGACCGCCTGTCTCAGTAGCAAGCTACTTCGATAGGATGTCCAACAATGAATGCGAAAGTGACCGACAGTAGTCGGAAACCAGTTTTCACACTGATTAGAACTGACACTACACTTGATCTTGGCGAAAAGGCCGGGAAGATATGGCTGTAAAGCACTACATAGGCCGGATTGCAACATTATCGACAGAACAGCGAATGTTGACAATCAGAATTGAAATGTTGCAATGCGTACGCCATATGAGAATCGCATTCCAAATTAATGAAATAGAGCATCACATACTACGAATATAGCGTCAGTTGTGGTGCTCCAATCGTGTATGTTGACATGTGTGTACGTTGTGCGCATGATGCAAGTAATCATGACAATAAAATCAACAAAGCTGATTATAGTGTATTTGTAAGTTGGCTACACGAAAGAAGGGTGTACGCCCCCGGAGACCGCCTGTCTCAGTAGCAAGCTACTTCGATAGTATGTCCAACAATGAATGCGAAAGGGACCGACAATAGTCGGAAACCAGTTTTCACACCGATTAGAACTGACACTACACTTGATCTTGGCGAAAAAGCCGGGAAGCTATGGCTGTAAAGCACTACATAGGCCGGATTGCAACATTATCGACAGAACAGTGAATGTTGACAATCAGAATTGAAATGTTGCAATGCGTACGCCATATGAGAATCGCATTCCAAATTATTGAAATAGAGCATCACATACTATGAATATAGCGTCAGTTGTGGTGCTCCAATCGTGTATGTTGACATGTGTGTACGTTGTGCGCATGATGCAAGTAATCATGACAATAAAATCAACAAAGCTGATTATAGTGTATTTGTAAGTTGGCTACACGGAAGAAGGGTGTACGCCCCCGGAGACCGCCTGTCTCAGTAGCAAGCTACTTCGATAGGATGTCCAAAAATGAATGCGAAAGGGACCGACAGTAGTCGGAAACCAGTTTTCACACCGATTACAACTGATCCTACACTTGATCTTGGCGAACAAGCCGGGAAGCTATGGCTGTAAAGCACTGCATAGGCCGGATTGCAACATTATCGACAGAACAGCGAATGTTGACAATCAGAAGTGGATTGTTGCAATGCGTACGCCATATGAGAATAGCATTTCATGTAATGAAATAGAGCATCACATACTACGAATATAGCGTCAGTTGTGGTGCTCCAATCGTGTATGTTGACATGTGTGTACGTTGTGCGCATGATGCAAGTAATCATGACAATAAAATCAACAAAGCTGATTATAGTGTATTTGTAAGTTGGCTACACGAAAGAAGGGTGTACGCCCCCGGAGACCGCCTGTCTCAGTAGCAAGCTACTTCGATAGGATGTCAAAAATGAATGCGAAAAGGACCGACAATAGTCAGAAATTAGTGTTCACACCGATTAAAGCTGATGCTACACTTGATCTTGGCGAAAAAGCCGGGAAGCTATGGCTGTAAAGCACTACATAGGACGGATTGCAACATCATCGACAGAACAGCGAATGTTGACAATCAGAATTGGAATGTTGCAATACGTACGCCATATGAGAATCGCATTCCAAATTAATGAAATAGAGCATCACATACTACGAATATAGCGTCAGTTGTGGTGCTCCAATCGTGTATGTTGACATGTGTGTACGTTGTGCGCATGATGCAAGTAATCATGACAATAAAATCAACAAAGCTGATTATAGTGTATTTGTAAGTTGGCTACACGAAAGAAGGGTGTACGCCCCCGGAGACCGCCTGTCTCAGTAGCAAGCTACTTCGATAGGATGTCCAAAATGAATGCGCGAAAGGGACCGACAATAGTCGGAAACCAGTTTTCACACCGATTAGAACTGACACTACACTTGATCTTGGAGAACAAGCCGGGAAGCCATGGCTGTAAAGCACTGCATAGGACGGATTGCAACATTATCGACAGAACAGCGAATGTTGACAATCAGAATTGGAATGTTGTAATGCGTACGCCATATGAGAATCGCATTCCAAATTAATGAAATAGAGCATCACATACTACGACTATAGCGTCAGTTGTGGTGCTCAAATCGTGTAAGTTGACATGTGTGTACGTTGTGCGCATGATGCAAGTAATCATGACAATAAAATCAACAAAGCTGATTATAGTGTATTTGTAAGTTGGATACACGAAAGAAGGGTGTACGCCCCCGGAGACCGCCTGTCTCAGTAGCAAGCTACTTCGATAGGATGTCCAAAAATGAATGCGAAAAGGACCGACAATAGTCGGAAACCAGTGTTCACACCGATTAGAACTGATACTACACTTGATCTTGGAGAACAAGCCGGGAAGCTATGGCTGTAAAGCACTACATAGGCCGGATTGCAACATTATCGACAGAACAGCGAATGTTGACAATCAGAATTGGAATGTTGCAATGCGTACGCCATATGAGAATAGCATTTCATGTAATGAAATAGAGCATCACATACTACGAATATAGCGTCAGTTGTGGTGCTCCAATCGTGTATGTTGACATGTGTGTACGTTGTGCGCATGATGCAAGTAATCATGACAATAAAATCAACAAAGCTGATTATAGTGTATTTGTAAGTTGGCTACACGAAAGAAGGGTGTACGCCCCCAGAGACCGCCTGTCTCAGTAGCAAGCTACTTCGATAGGATGTCCAACAATGAACGCGAAAGTGACCGACAGTAGTCGGAAACCAGTTTTCACACCGATTAGAACTGACACTACACTTGATCTTGGCGAAAAGGCCGGGAAGCTATGGCTGTAAAGCACTACATAGGCCGGATTGCAACATTATCGACAGAACAGCGAATGTTGACAATCAGAATTGGAATGTTGCAATGCGTACGCCATATGAGAATAGCATTTCATGTAATGAAATAGAGCATCACATACTACGAATATAGCGTCAGTTGTGGTGCTCCAATCGTGTATGTTGACATGTGTGTACGTTGTGCGCATGATGCAAGTAATCATGACAATAAAATCAACAAAGCTGATTATAGTGTATTTGTAAGTTGGCTACACGGAAGAAGGGTGTACGCCCCCGGAGACCGCCTGTCTCAGTAGCAAGCTACTTCGATAGGATGTCCAAAAATGAATGCGAAAGGGACCGACAATAGTCGGAAACCAGTTTTCACACCGATTAAAACTGATACTACACTTGATCTTGGAGAACAAGCCGGGAAGCTATGGCTGTAAAGCACTACATAGGCCGGATTGCAACATTATCGACAGAACAGCGAATGTTGACAATCAGAATTGGAATGTTGCAATGCGTACGCCATATGAGAATAGCATTTCAATGTAATGAAATAGAGCATCACATACTACGAATATAGCGTCAGTTGTGGTGCTCCAATCGTGTATGTTGACATGTGTGTACGTTGTGCGCATGATGCAAGTAATCATGACAATAAAATCAACAAAGCTGATTATAGTGTATTTGTAAGTTGGCTACACGAAAGAAGGGTGTACGCCCCCGGAGACCGCCTGTCTCAGTAGCAAGCTACTTCGATAGGATGTCCAAAAATGAATGCGAAAGGGATCGACAGTAGTCGGAAACCAGTTTTCACACCGATTACAACAGATACTACACTTGATCTTGGCGAAAAAGCCGGGAAGCTATGGCTGTAAAGCACTACATAGGCCGGATTGCAACATTATCGACAGAACAGCGAATGTTGACAATCAGAATTGGAATGTTGCAATACGTACGCCATATGAGAATCGCATTCCAAGTTAATGAAATAGAGCATCACACACTACGAAAATAACGTCAGTTGTGGTGCTCCAATCGTGTATGTTGACATGTGTGTACGTTGTGCGCATGATGCAAGTAATCATGACAATAAAATCAACAAAGCTGATTATAGTGTATTTGTAAGTTGGCTACACGAAAGAAGGGTGTACGCCCCCGGAGACCGCCTGTCTCAGTAGCAAGCTACTTCGATAGGATGTCCAAAAATGAATGCGAAAGGGACCGACAATAGTCGGAAACTAGTGTTCACACCGATTAAAACTGATACTACACTTGATCTTGGCGAAAAAGCCGGGAAGCTATGGCTGTAAAGCACTACATAGGCCGGATTGCAACATTATCGACAGAACAGCGAATGTTGACAATCAGAATTGGAATGTTGCAATGCGTACGCCATATGAGAATAGCATTCCAAGTAATGAAATAGAGCATCACATACTACGAATATAGCGTCAGTTGTGGTGCTCCAATCGTGTATGTTGACATGTGTGTACGTTGTGCGCATGATGCAAGTAATCATGACAATAAAATCAACAAAGCTGATTATAGTGTATTTGTAAGTTGGCTACACGGAAGAAGGGTGTACGCCCCCGGAGACCGCCTGTCTCAGTAGCAAGCTACTTCGATAGGATGTCCAAAAATGAATGCGAAAGGACCGACAATAGTCGGAAACTAGTGTTCACACCGATTAAAACTGATACTACACTTGATCTTGGCGAAAAAGCCGGGAAGATATGGCTGTAAAGCACTACATAGGCCGGATTGCAACATTATCGACAGAACAGCGAATGTTGACAATCAGAATTGGAATGTTGCAATGCGTACGCCATATGAGAATAGCATTTCAAATTAATGAAATAGAGCATCACATACTACGAATATAGCGTCAGTTGTGGTGCTCCAATCGTGTTTGTTGACATGTGTGTACGTTGTGCGCATGATGCAAGTAATCATGACAATAAAATCAACAAAGCTGATTATAGTGTATTTGTAAGTTGGCTACACGAAAGAAGGGTGTACGCCCCCGGAGACCGCCTGTCTCAGTAGCAAGCTACTTCGATAGGATGTCCAAAAATGAATGCGAAAGGGACCGACAGTAGTCGGAAAACAGTTTTCACACCGATTAAAGCTGATGCTACACTTGATCTTGGCGAAAAAGCCGGGAAGCTATGGCTGTAAAGCACTACATAGGCCGGATTGCAACATTATCGACAGAACAGCGAATGTTGACAATCAGAATTGGAATGTTGCAATGCGTACGCCATATGAGAATAGCACTACAAATTATTGAAATAGAGCATCACATACTATGAATTTAACGTCAGTGGTGGTGCTCCAATCGTGTATGTTGACATGTGTGTACGTTGTGCGCATGATGCAAGTAATCATGACAATAAAATCAACAAAGCTGATTATAGTGTATTTGTAAGTTGGCTACACGAAAGAAGGGTGTACGCCCCCGGAGACCGCCTGTCTCAGTAGCAAGCTACTTCGATAGGATGTCCAAAAATGAATGCGAAAGGGACCGACAATAGTCAGAAATTAGTGTTCACACCGATGAAAGCTGATGCTACACTTGATCTTGGCGAAAAAGCCGGGAAGATATGGCTGTAAAGCACTACATAGGCCGGATTGCAACATTATCGACAGAACAGCGAATGTTGACAATCAGAATTGGAATGTTGCAATGCGTACGCCATATGAGAATAGCATTCCAAATGTAATGAAATAGAGCATCACATACTACGAATATAGCGTCAGTGGTGGTGCTCCAATCGTGTAAGTTGACATGTGTGTACGTTGTGCGCATGATGCAAGTAGTCATGACAATAAAATCAACAAAGCTGATTATAGTGTATTTGTAAGTTGGTTACACGAAAGAAGGGTGTACGCCCCCGGAGACCGCCTGTCTCAGTAGCAAGCTACTTTGGTAGGATGTCCAAAAATGAATGCGAAAGGGACCGACAATAGTCAGAAATTAGTGTTCACACCGATGAAAGCTGATGCTACACTTGATCTTGGCGAAAAAGCCGGGAAGCTATGGCTGTAAAGCACTACATAGGCCGGATTGCAACATTATCGACAGAACAGTGAATGTTGACAATCAGAATTGGAATGTTGCAATGCGTACGCCATATGAGAATCGCATTCCAAATTAATGAAATAGAGCATCACATACTACGAATATAGCGTCAGTGGTGGTGCTCCAATCGTGTTTATTGACATGTGTGTACGTTGTGCGCATGATGCAAGTAATCATGACAATAAAATCAACAAAGCTGATTATAGTGTATTTGTAAGTTGGTTACACGAAAGAAGGGTGTACGCTTCCGGAGACCGCCTGTCTCAGTAGCAAGCTACTTTGGTAGGATGTCCAAAAATGAATGCGAAAGGGACCGACAATAGTCAGAAATTAGTGTTCACACCGATGAAAGCTGATGCTACACTTGATCTTGGCGAAAAAGCCGGGAAGATATGGCTGTAAAGCACTACATAGGCCGGATCGCAACATTATCGACAGAACAGCGAATGTTGACAATCAGAATTGGAATGTTGCAATGCGTACGCCATATGAGAATCGCACTACAAATTATTGAAATAGAGCATCACATACTATGAATTTAACGTCAGTGGTGGTGCTCCAATCGTGTAAGTTGACATGTGTGTACGTTGTGCGCATGATGCAAGTAGTCATGACAATAAAATCAACAAAGCTGATTATAGTGTATTTGTAAGTTGGCTACACGAAAGAAGGGTGTACGCCCCCGGAGACCGCCTGTCTCAGTAGCAAGCTACTTCGATAGGATGTCCAAAAATGAATGCGAAAAGGACCGACAATAGTCAGAAATTAGTGTTCACACCGATTAAAGCTGATGCTACACTTGATCTAGGAGAACAAGCCGGGAAGATATGGCTGTAAAGCACTACATAGGCCGGATTGCAACATTATCGACAGAACAGTGAATGTTGACAATCAGAATTGAATGTTGCAATGCGTACGCCATATGAGAATAGCATTTCAATGTAATGAAATAGAGCATCACATACTACGAATATAGCGTCAGTTGTGGTGCTCCAATCGTGTATGTTGACATGTGTGTACGTTGTGCGCATGATGCAAGTAATCATGACAATAAAATCAACAAAGCTGATTATAGTGTATTTGTAAGTTGGCTACACGAAAGAAGGGTGTACGCCCCCGGAGACCGCCTGTCTCAGTAGCAAGCTACTTCGATAGGATGTCCAAAAATGAATGCGAAAAGGACCGACAATAGTCAGAAATTAGTGTTCACACCGAGTAAAGCTGATACTACACTTGATCTTGGCGAAAAAGCCGGGAAGATATGGCTGTAAAGCACTACATAGGCCGGATTGCAACATTATCGACAGAACAGCGAATGTTGACAATCAGAATTGGAATGTTGCAATGCGTACGCCATATGAGAATAGCATTCCAAATTATTGAAATAGAGCATCACATACTACGAATATAGCGTCAGTTGTGGTGCTCCAATCGTGTATGTTGACATGTGTGTACGTTGTGCGCATGATGCAAGTAATCATGACAATAAAATCAACAAAGCTGATTATAGTGTATTTGTAAGTTGGCTACACGAAAGAAGGGTGTACGCCCCCGGAGACCGCCTGTCTCAGTAGCAAGCTACTTCGATAGGATGTCCAAAAATGAATGCGAAAGGACCGACAATAGTCGGAAACTAGTTTTCACACCGATTAGAGCTGATGCTACACTTGATCTTGGCGAAAAGCCGGGAAGCTATGGCTGTAAAGCACTACATAGGCCGGATTGCAACATTATCGACAGAACAGCGAATGTTGACAATCAGAATTGGAATGTTGCAATGCGTACGCCATATGAGAATAGCATTTCAAATGTAATGAAATAGAGCATCACATACTACGAATATAGCGTCAGTTGTGGTGCTCCAATCGTGTATGTTGACATGTGTGTACGTTGTGCGCATGATGCAAGTAATCATGACAATAAAATCAACAAAGCTGATTATAGTGTATTTGTAAGTTGGCTACACGAAAGAAGGGTGTACGCCCCCGGAGACCGCCTGTCTCAGTAGCAAGCTACTTCGATAGGATGTCCAAAAATGAATGCGAAAAGGACCGACAATAGTCAGAAATTAGTGTTCACACCGATTAAAGCTGATGCTACACTTGATCTAGGAGAACAAGCCGGGAAGATATGGCTGTAAAGCACTACATAGGCCGGATTGCAACATTATCGACAGAACAGTGAATGTTGACAATCAGAATTGGAATGTTGCAATGCGTACGCCATATGAGAATAGCATTTCAAATGTAATGAAATAGAGCATCACATACTACGAATATAGCGTCAGTTGTGGTGCTCCAATCGTGTATGTTGACATGTGTGTACGTTGTGCGCATGATGCAAGTAATCATGACGATAAAATCAACAAAGCTGATTATAGTGTATTTGCAAGTTGGCAACACGAAAGAAGGGTGTACGCCCCCAGAGACCGCCTGTCTCAGAAGCAAGCTACTTCGATAGGATGTCCAAAAATGAATGCGAAAAGGACCGACAATAGTCAGAAATTAGTGTTCACACCGATGAAAGCTGATGCTACACTTGATCTAGGAGAACAAGCCGGGAAGATATGGCTGTAAAGCACTACATAGGCCGGATTGCAACATTATCGACAGAACAGTGAATGTTGACAATCAGAATTGAATGTTGCAATGCGTACGCCATATGAGAATAGCATTCCAAATTAATGAAATAGAGCATCACATACTACGAATATAGCGTCAGTTGTGGTGCTCCAATCGTGTATGTTGACATGTGTGTACGTTGTGCGCATGATGCAAGTAATCATGACAATAAAATCAACAAAGCTGATTATAGTGTATTTGTAAGTTGGCTACACGAAAGAAGGGTGTACGCCCCCGGAGACCGCCTGTCTCAGAAGCAAGCTACTTCGATAGGATGTCCAAAAATGCATGCGAAAAGGACCGACAATAGTCAGAAATTAGTGTTCACACCGATTAAAGCTGATGCTACACTTGATCTAGGAGAACAAGCCGGGAAGATATGGCTGTAAAGCACTACATAGGCCGGATTGCAACATTATCGACAGAACAGTGAATGTTGACAATCAGAATTGAAATGTTGCAATGCGTACGCCATATGAGAATAGCATTCCAAATTATTGAAATAGAGCATCACATACTACGAATATAGCGTCAGTTGTGGTGCTCCAATCGTGTATGTTGACATGTGTGTACGTTGTGCGCATGACGCAAGTAATCATGACAACAA